TTCTATACAAAGTTCGGTCAAAAGCTCCCCATTATCATTTATCCCTGGCATCCCAAAGTTACGTTCCACGCCCTCTGTAACCATTTCTCCCATTTTTGCATGTAGGTCTGCTACCAGAATTACTCTTTCACTTGGTTCAAAATTCCCTAAATACTCAACATTCTAAAAATCTCTCTCCTCTGCATAAACACTTATTATAACCCACTTTTTGCATTCGACACTTATTTTAATCCCTACTCTCCTTCCAACACTGATCTTTCAACATTATTGCTACACCTTCCTTAGCTCTAACTTTCTCAGATACTTCTCATTTAATCTCATTTATTTTTTTCTCACTGAAACTCCCCTATTTCGCTTAGAGCTAGGCCACCGAACTTCTTTCCATTCATAACACTGGCAATCATCTCTTTCTTATCATCTTCACTACATCCACGCAATTCAATCATCCCAGCTTTTATATTTTTTATTATTATTATAGTAATTTATTGAAGAGGACTTATTAGCCAATTGTTCCTGGCATTTTAGTTGCCTCTTACAACAAGCATGGCTTACGGAGTAATTATTTTTCTCCACTTCCCCATGGAGATGAAACAGTTAAACAAGAACCTCCTCCTCAATACTGGAACTCTTTGTAGCTCATCATTCTCCCAACACTTTATTATATTTTACCTTATCTTCTTTAAATTAAAAGCATTCACTTCTCTCATATTTACTGAAGCCATTCTCTTCATAACTATCTACTTGTGTATATATATATATATATATATATATATATATATATATATATATATATATATATATATATATATATATATATATATAGATTGTGCCGAATAGGCAAAACTTGCGATTTTGTCTTAAATAACAACGCTGTTTTTGCCAAATAAGGCAAGCAAAAAATTTGTGTAGGAAATAATGTCGCAAAAATCATTCTGAACATAACGAAAAAAAAATATATTTCATCGTTTGCCTCGTGATGAATGAAAATCGCATGACGCTCTAACCCACTCGACCAGACAATCCTACAAGAATCAAGCACCTAGCAGAGCTAGGTGTTTTACCTTGATCCGAGGACATTCGGTGGTGTGGGTGCCTCTGAGCTAATTTCATTCTAATCCCCGTTTGGTATACTAGCCCAACAAGCAGTGTTGATATTATTATGACCAAGAACGAGTGGTGTTGAATCAATAACAACAATGCAACTAGCCGAGGATTTCAACCCATTTCGTTTTGGCCCTGCCTCGTTGTGAGCGAAAATCACATGACGCTCTAACCCAATGTACCACACAGTCCTACAAGAATCAGGGCTAGTCGCAGTTTTATTTATTCAATACCACTCGTTCGTGGCCACAGTAATACAAATACTGCTTGTGGAGGCTAGTACACCAAACGGAGATTTGAATGAAATTAGCTCAGAAGCACCCACGCCACCGTATGTCCTCGGATCAAGGTAAAACACCTAGCTCTGCTGGGTGCTTGATTCTTGTAGGATTGTGTGGTCCAGTGGGTTAGTCAAGGGATTTTCGCTCAAAACGAGGCAGGGACAAAACGAAATGGGTTCGAATCCTCGGCTAGTCGCAGTGTTGATGTTGATTCAATACCACTCGTTCATGGTCACAATATATATATATATATATATATATATATATATATATATATATATATATATATATATATATATATATATATATATATTATTTTTTTATTATTATCACACTGGCTGATTCCCACCAAGGCAGGGTGGCCCGAAAAAGAAAAACTTTCACCATCATTCACTCCATCACTGTCTTGCCAGAAGGGTGCTTTACACTACAGTTTTTAAACTGCAACATTAACACCCCTCCTTCAGAGTGCACGCACTGTACTTCCCATCTCCAGGACTCAAGTCCGGTCTGCCGGTTTCCCTGAATCCCTTCATAAATGTTACTTTGCTCACACTCCAACAGCACGTCAAGTATTAAAAACCATTTGTCTCCATTCACTCCTATCAAACACGCTCACGCATGCCTGCTGGAAGTCCAAGCCCCTCGCACACAAAACCTCCTTTACCCCCTCCCTCCATCCTTTCCTAGGCCGACCCCTACCCCGCCTTCCTTCCACTACAGACTGATACACTCTTGAAGTTATTCTGTTTCGCTCCATTCTCTCCACATGTCCGAACCACCTCAACAACCCTTCCTCAGCCCTCTGGACAACAGTTTTGGTAATCCCACACCTCCTCCTAATTTCCAAACTACGAATTCTCTGCATTATATTCACACTACACATTGCCCTCAGACATGACATCTCCACTGCCTCCAGCCTTCTCCTCTCTGCAACATTCATCACCCACGTTTCACACCCATATAAGAGCGTTGGTAAAACTATACTCTCATACATTCCCCTCTTTGCCTCCAAGGACAAAGTTCTTTGTCTCCACAGGCTCCTAAGTGCACCACTCACCCTTTTCCCCTCATCAATTCTACGATTCACATCATCTTTCATAGACCCATCCGCTGACACGTCCACTCCCAAATATCTGAATACATTCACCTCCTCCAGTCTCTCTCCCTCCAATCTGATATTAAATCTTTCATCACCTAACCTTTTTGTTATCCTCATAACCTTACTCTTTCCTGTATTCACTTTCAATTTTCTTCTTTTGCACACCCTACCAAATTCAGCCACCAATCTCTGCAACTATATATATATATATATATATATATATATATATATATATATATATATATATATATATATATATATATATATATATATATATATATATAAAGATAGAAGATAAAGATAGAAATGTTAAAAGCAGGTGGGGATATAGTTTTGGAGTGGTTGGTGCAATTATTTAATAAATGTATGGAAGAGGGTAAGGTACCTAGGGATTGGCAGAGAGCATGCATAGTTCCTTTGTATAAAGGCAAAGGGGATAAAAGAGAGTGCAAAAATTATAGGGGGATAAGTCTGCTGAGTATACCTGGTAAAGTGTATGGTAGAGTTATTATTGAAAGAATTAAGAGTAAGACGGAGAATAGGATTTCAGATGAACAAGGAGGCTTTAGCAAAGGTAGGGGGTGTGTGGATCAGGTGTTTACAGTGAAACATATAAGTGAACAGTATTTAGATAAGGCTAAAGAGGTCTTTGTGGCATTTATGGATTTGGAAAAGGCGTATGACAGGGTGGATAGGGGGGCAATGTGGCAGATGTTGCAAGTGTATAGTGTAGGAGGTAGGTTACTGAAAGCAGTGAAGAGTTTTTACGAGGATAGTGAGGCTCAAGTTAGAGTATGTAGGAAAGAGGGAAATTATTTCCCAGTAAAAGTAGGCCTTAGACAAGGATGTGTGATGTCACCGTGGTTGTTTAATATATTTATAGATGGGGTTGTAAGAGAAGTAAATGCGAGGGTCTTGACAAGAGGCGTGGAGTTAAAAGATAAAGAATCACACACAAAGTGGGAGTTGTCACAGCTGCTCTTTGCTGATGACACTGTGCTCTTGGGAGATTCTGAAGAGAAGTTGCAGAGATTGGTGGATGAATTTGGTAGGGTGTGCAAAAGAAGAAAATTAAAGGTGAATACAGGAAAGAGTAAGGTTATGAGGATAACAAAAAGATTAGGTGATGAAAGATTGAATATCAGATTGGAGGGAGAGAGTATGGAGAAGGTGAATGTATTCAGATATTTGGGAGTGGACGTGTCAGCAGATGGGTCTATGAAAGATGAGGTGAATCATAGAATTGATGAGGGAAGAGTGAGTGGTGCACTTAGGAGTCTGTGGAGACAAAGAACTTTGTCCTTGGAGGCAAAGAGGGGAATGTATGAGAGTATAGTTTTACCAACGCTCTTATATGGGTGTGAAGCATGGGTGATGAATGTTGCAGCGAGGAGAAGGCTGGAGGCAGTGGAGATGTCATGTCTGAGGGCAATGTGTGGTGTGAATATAATGCAGAGAATTCGTAGTTTGGAAGTTAGGAGGAGGTGCGGGATTACCAAAACTGTTGTCCAGAGGGCTGAGGAAGGGTTGTTGAGGTGGTTCGGACATGTAGAGAGAATGGAGCGAAACAGAATGACTTCAAGAGTGTATCAGTCTGTAGTGGAAGGAAGGCGGGGTAGGGGTCGGCCTAGGAAAGGTTGGAGAGAGGGGGTAAAGGAGGTTTTGTGTGCGAGGGGCTTGGACTTCCAGCAGGTATGCATGAGCGTGTTTGATAGGAGTGAATGGAGACAAATGGTTTTTAATACTTGACGTGCTGTTGGAGTGTGAGCAAAGTAACATTTATGAAGGGGTTCAGGGAAACCGGCAGGCCGGACTTGAGTCCTGGAGATGGGAAGTACAGTGCCTGCACTCTGAAGGAGGGGTGTTAATGTTGCAGTTTAAAAACTGTAGTGTAAAGCACCCTTCTGGCAAGACAGTGATGGAGTGAATGATGGTGAAAGTTTTTCTTTTTCGGGCCACCCTGCCTTGGTGGGAATCGGCCAGTGTGATAATAAAAAATAAATAAATAAATATATATATATATATATATATATATATATATATATATATATATATATTATATATATATATATATATATATATATATGTATATATTATATATATTATACTTTATTATGTAAAATGGTTAACATATTAACAGGATACATGATAGTACGATAAGCTTCTTATCGTACTATCATCGTTCAAAATACTAATACAAAACGTGTGAGCGTTACATATAAAACACACAAGTGAATGTGCCAACATTTAAATATTACGATCATTCACCTTCTCACAGTTTTGATACATACCCAGGATACAACAAACAGACATTACTCCTATATATATACATACCGAGATATGAATGCTTCTCAGTATATATGTAATGAAAGTTTTCTTTATACTTGTATTACCTTTTAAGATATTTTTGTTTCATGGAGAACAGAATACATGTGTAATCAATAGTAGTGTCTATGTTTTAAATTCAGTTAACCTACTTTCAAAATAAGTACAATAAAGACAAATGAAATATTTACCTGCTTTATCAAGAATGAAAGTTTTGAGGAGGTAGATACTCTTGGGTACTGCCAGGTCCCCGTCCATGTTGAGGCAGTGGTAACGGGCAAGCTGCCATGGAAGGGGATAAGGACTCAGGTAGAAGCACTCATCCATCACAGTGACATAAGGAGGAGGGCAGCAAGGCCCTTTTGAAAAGAAAGTGAAATTATATATACTGTTTTCATGACATGAGCAATAATCCTAACTCATCTCGTTGCAAATATAAGCCCAATCTAAGTCATCTTCCCTCTAACCAGGAATGTGACCGATAACAGTGGGCAGGCAATTTCAAAATACCACTTCACTGCTTATATGTTTCTACTTGTCCCTGGTTCTCCCCTCCCCCCTTTGTTACAGTTTTAATGAAGGTGAATATTATGAGTAAAATAGTCCTCGGAGGATGAGTTAAATCTGATTCATAATGTGATCATTCTTTAATAACTGCAATAATATATCATGACAAACACACCATGAAGATTTCCTAACCATGAAAGAACTGTGACGTGTAATGGATTTTTTTCGCCGCCTAAACACAATATTGCAGATATGGTGTTATTAATAATAATCCCTTTATGGGGCAGGCCGTAAAATTTGTGGGCCTGAGCATGTGCTTTTCTGCGCATGTCATCTTGCTCGTGCCGCGCATCTAGATTCCCGTTCATCATTTCTGACCAATCACAAGCCTTCCCTGAGTCACTTCAGCTAAGTGGTGCAGTCCTGTTCTCGCTTCCCATTGGTTGAGAAACTAAGATGTTAACACTCATGGCTTGGCGTCACCGAGAGTAACATTTTTTCATCTAGTGAGACTCAAATACCTTTGGATTTTATCCTCTACAATGTCGGTAAGTACTGATTGTTATGTCTAGTGCGTAAATGAATAGTTTGGGCATATTTTGGTATATATATATATATATATATATATATATATATATATATATATATATATATATATATATATAAAGGCCGTGTGAAGCATAATATGAGTGTACCATGCAAATGAAAAAGGTGCAACAAAAGAGGCCTCAAAAAATGTTGATCTGCCCTTTTAGGGCCAGTTTTCAATTTCAGTAAATAAATATTTATAAAAAATATTTCTGTTGCTTATATGAATTTTGTAGTGGTCTGGATGTGTACAGAACGTTTTTATTGTCCTTCCAGATCAATGAGAAATTGTTTTACGGTGAGCCCTCTAACACCAAGTCAAAATATGTCTGCGTTTTGGAGGAAAATGACTCAGAACTGGAGGTAGATGACCCAGAATTGCTTGAAAGTGGTGATGAATACTTGACACCGGATGCAGAGGTGTCAAGTGATGATGAGGAGGAAGAAACACCAGCCAGGTATTAGGATCGAGGAGATGCCTGATGAAGAAGATATTCATGATGAGCTTGCTGTTGACAGTAACCCCAGCTGGACCCATGGTGACATCCATAATGACCCTTTGCCTGAATACCAACATGAAAAGCCTGTTGCAGTTGGGTCTCCATATGAATATTTTGCCGATTTCTTTACTGAAGACATGATTGACAACCTAACATATCAAACAAATTTGTATGCCAAGCAAAAAAATATACTACTTTTTCAACAGATTCTGAAGAAATCTTGAAGTTCATTAGTATTCTCTTGTTTATGGGTGTTTATTCATACCCAGCCATTGAAGAATATTGGAAACATTTAAGATACTCATGTATCGAGGCAAATCAACTTTTGACAGCCATCCCATAAAGCTGTCACAGGAAGAAACAAAACTGCCAATAAGTTCAAAGATTGTTCTGGTACTTGCAACCACTATCAATCAAAGAAATATATCAGCAATCTATGCTGGCAATTTCTTTTCAAGTCTACCTTTGGTTAAGGTACTAAGAGACAAGTATAACCGCAGATACACTGGAACAGTAAGTGATAATAGATGTGGTAAGCCAAACCTGGTTCCTGTCAAATGAAAAAGAGCAATGTGCCCAGGGGCACTTGCGACTTCCAAAGCACCTATGATGGTATCCTTGTTGTAAGATAGAAGGACAACAAAGTTGTGGCTTTAGTGACAAATGATCAGGAGGTTAATCCTGTGACTCTTTTTGACAGATATAACAAGGATACAAAGAACAGAAGCCAGGTCCATTGCCCTACAGTCATCAAGAACTATAATGCACACATGGGAGGTATTGACAAAAGTAACATGTTGGTGCATCTACACAAAACACCTATGAAATCTAAACGTTGGTACATGCGGCTGTTTGCCTATGTTCTTGATCTGGCTGGCTGTTGTGAATGCATGGCTTCTTTACTGCCATGATTGTAAATCAATCAATACCAAGTTCATGCCACTGAAGAGTTTCAGGAATGATATCTCTATCACTGCAAGATCCAAAGGAAATAAGATTGGGATGAACCAGCAGAACTAAAAGAGCTTCAACAAGTAGTTCCAGTAGTGACACTAATGATTTGCCAAGCTTGCAATTGCTAGTTGCTAAGCAGTACCAACGTGCAATAAGGCCTGATGACACTGTGAAGGAAGATCAAACGCTACCTCACTGGCCAGTGAATGGCAAGGTACGTACTTGTAAGTATTGCAGCAACAAGAACAATTATACCACATCGTCATTTTACTGTTCCGTATGGAAAGTACATCTATGCATAAAGAAGGATAAAAATTGCTTCATATCCTTCGATTCTAGCAATTAGTAATATACAATGACTGTTCTTTCTCATGGAATTCAGGAATATGGGACTTGAAAATGTTATCCCTTTGTAATGTGTCAATGTAGCAATTTGGTTTCTTTTTATATTTTTCTAATACCTAAAAAAGGTTTGGATACAAGTTCCTTTTATGTTTTTTATATTGTTTGTTTGTATAATAAATTAAAAAAATAGTTATTTGCTGTACCATTGCAAGTTTGCAACATCCAAATTTATACTCCATTAAACGGGCAGGCCATAATAAATTAGGGAGATTCGCTGATTAGCAATTGCTTGAAAACTAACCATCAGAATTCCATTTATATGGGCTCACTGACCTTATATTGAGTTACTCTATCCACTATAGGGAGTTCAGTTCGAAATTCTAATTTTATGGCCATTTGCCCCAAGAAGGGGGTGTTAAGAGCTTGGACATTCTATGGGCTAATGGACATGCTATTGGAGTGTAAGCAGTGTAACATTTATGAAGATATTCTGAGTAAATAGTTAGCTAGACTTGAGTAATGAAATTGGAAAATACAGTGCCTGGCCTGTGAGGAGGGGTGGGAGTACTGCGACTTGGTGCTTTCGTCTGAAATGGGAAATCAGTTCGCTTCTGGCAGGAGAGTGATTGAATGACGATGATAGAGTTCGTCACATTGCCTGGGTCACCCTGCCTCAGTAAGGGACTGCCGGTGTGTTAAATATAATGTATAGTAAACATTTTGATCTATGACTCACGAAATAGTAATAACACGATTGCAAACAAACCAGGGTACGGGTGGGGATTGAACCCAATGTGAGTTGTAAAACTCCAGGCTATATTCATTAACCAACCATATCACATACTTTTTTTACTCATTTTCCTACTCTACATACCTACTTAATTACAAAATGTTAGGTAATTTTTTTGACCAAAACTAAGTTAGAAACCTCACTTAGCTTTCAGATCAGAACAGACATTCTTCTCTTATCCTACATATATAATTTTTTTTAATAAAATTGCCAAATCAAAACTTACATGCCCCAAAAACAATGTAAAACTTTCCCTGATAAAAACACAAATGCTGAAGGTTTGAATCGAACCACTTGATGAATTCTCCTCTTTTAAAAATATTTTACTGACAAATTTATTAACATAGTTGGCAAAAATTCACCTATTCAGCCTCAACCCAAAATTTATCAGATTTTTTCTCTAGATGAATCAGCCAATAGAACTGGCAGTTGCCATTCTGTGAAAAAAAGCGATACCAATTTAGAAGTTAAACAGTGAGCTTGGACTTCACACACGTAAATAACAGTACCAAACAATGAGGAATGCTAACAGAAAGCGAGAAAGAACCAATGTAAGGGAGTATTTATTAAGATATTCGGTCCTACAATAAATTTTAAAGCATGCGAAATCGTAGATACAACGTAATGAAGGTAAATGAGCTTTCCCTCAAGGTGCTAGGTTGTCGTTTAAGGCGATGTATCTCTGTTTCTGTATACTTAATAAAGCCCAGTTTTGCATGAAACACATAATAAATATTCCCTGCAGAACATTTTCTAATACATACCAATGTTCAAAATATATTTCCGATGAAAAGAAATTTTATCAAGTTAACACACAAAAACCACAATCCGACATGATCTATGTTAATTTAACCAGAGAGGCACTTGCACGTGATAATAGTTTCATAAATCTTTCCCAAGCTTTAGTTCACCAGTGTTAAAACTGGAGCTGACTGGAACACCAGCTTAAGGCTAGAGTCCCTGAATTTGGCCAACTCTTTTATTTTTCAACCAATTTTTTTTATTTTTGGTGTACATTTAGAGGTTCATATGTAGAAGAATGTGACAAAGTTTCAGTATGATTGGCCAACAAACAACAGAGAAAAAAAATATTTCAGTGACTTCATATATGGCAGCAAAGTATGACAAAATGGCACTTCGAGTGGCACTTCCGACAATCCCAACCGTTAGAATACATCTGACACTAATTTTGGATGCACATGTTTCATCTAATATATCTTATTATCATGGAAAAAAAAATACATTTGATAGACTTTTTTGCATTCACCAAAATATCTGCCTTTTACCTCCCACAAAATCAAAAATATTTGATATATTCCAAAAAAAGAATCATCAGATTTTCAAACACACCTTGTTTTATATTGTCAGTGAAAATCATTTCAATACAATCATTAATAATGGTGTACTTTAGCGAAATATGTGAAAAAGTTACTTCCGAGATATAGGCCTAGAAAACGTCGGCAGGCCTACCGTCTCAAAAAAATTTTTTTTTGCGCGGAAATCGGGTTTTTTTTTGGTGTATTTCTTAGTAAACTGATGTTCTAGTGCAGTTATCCTCTTCAAAACACCGTTTTCTATCACTCACATACCAAACAATAGAACAAGGAGACCAGGAGTAACTCATTTATATCGAAATATTGCATGCAAAACTTCTCCAGTACAATAAACTTCAAGCCGCTTTGAAGTTGTATCATCGTTATCAGCACTGGAGAGTTAAAACTAATATCATGCAACACTCGAAAATAATTGCATGACTAGCAGTATTTGAACTTTCCCAATTTCTTCACAAACAAAAAGCAAATTGCCACCTGCAATAGCCAGGATCAATCAAAACTTTTCTCCAAGATTTCCCAGCATTTTTGTAAGTAAATATGTAGAGTAGAAAGAAATTAAATAAGCATGTGCTATTTAAGGTTTATGAACATACATTCAAACTTTTAACAATTGCCTTGAGGTCACACACAATTATCTCACACAATTATTTCACATAACTGAGTAGAAAAATCAAGAGAAATCTTTCTTGATCCCCTGAATACCGTCCAGGTAGGTACCAGGTAGGTACCAATCTATAACCGCACTAAACGGAGAAAGCATATCAGACAATACATACCCCAATTATTGTACAAAATTCAAGAAAATTCTCCCCAACATAGCCTATACCCAAGAAACATTTCATTCTTTCTATTGTTTTATCACCTACTAAGAATGGATACCATACATAATTGTGTTACTTAGATCAGTGAAAGAGCTAAGGTAGTAGAAATTATAAAGTGTCTGAGGAATGGGAGACAACGAGATTCGATGCATGCAAGTGGATAATAAGTCGTCTTCCTTGGATCTAGAGCACCTTCCATCATGTGTTTAGATGAAAAGTGGAAAAAATGGTTCCTTCATACGCAAAAATGCTAATCTTCCTTTAACATGGAACAAAAGAGGATTTTTAAAACTGTCTCTCGAAAATTAATTTGGAGAATGGTCCTCATAAAACTGAACAGAGTGCACGTGCACTTGTCAAGTGCTCTACGGACCTTCACCTAGCAATAGTTAACCAGGGTCGTAAATGTGAAGGAACTAAGATAAGGCGATCAGTTATAAACAGAACATTTGTATGAGCCTACTGATACCTAATTTAAGGGCGCAATAAACTCATGGAAATTTTAATTGCTGTAAATACGAGAGTTGTCAACATTTCTCAATTTTCTTTTTGCATTTGTATTCTGTTTAAAAATTTCTACAATCTTCTAGGAAAAACCTACGATTTATTTTAAGAAAGTTCAAGTTTATAAAATAAACTATGCAATTTGTAAACTGGTACATATAAATCTCAAATTCATTAAAAAGTAACAAAAAAAGGCACAATACCGGGACTGGAACGATACACAAATAACCCGGACATAAAAGAAAGAAGCTTACGACGACGTTTCGGTCCGACTTGGACCATTTACAAAGTCACACTAACCAGAAGTGGAGCAGGACTGCTATATATAGGCAGGAAGAGGTGGTGGTAGTAGTAGTATTAGTACAAGAATGGTATATAATACCGACAAGATGAAATTAAGACACATGCGCAACACCCGGGCATCTCTATCGTAGACGTTTCGCCATCCAGTGGCTGGCTGGATGGCGAAACGTCTACGATAGGGATGCCCGGGTGTTGCGCATGCGTCTTAATTTCATCTTGTCGGTATTATATAACATTCTTGTACTACTACTACTACTACTACTACTACTACTACTACTACTACTACTACTACTACTACTACTACTACCACCACTACCTCTTCCTGCCTATACATAGCCGTCCTGCTCCACTTCTGGTTAGTGTGATTTTGTCAATGGTCCAAGTCGGACCGAAACGTCGTCGTAAACTTCTCTCTTTTATGTGCGGGTTATTTGTGTATCATTAAAAAGTACTTCCAACTAACATACACCAATGGTTAAGCGTTTATAGCCGATCTTATTACACGGAAAAAAAATCTCATTGGGTTGCTTAAGTACTAATTTGCTATTTGTATTGAATAAATATTAATATTTACATTCAGTAAGTCTAGAGTGCTTTTGCTCTTGGGCTTCAAAACATTAATGAATATATATTCAGTAACAAAAATGATTTCCATTAGTCGAGTATATGCGTATCTGAAATTATACTCAAATTGTAAATAAATTGGAATCGTGGAAATCAGATCAATTACTGGAGAATATCCTTTTGATCGGCTTCTAATTTACACACATCTCAAAGTTAACTTTAGCGTTAATTTTCAGATGTGTGAATTTCAATGGCATTATTTTTATATTATTGGATTATGTCTTGAAGCTGCTGAGGACCTGAACTTATCTTGCTTGAATCGAATCTCAATACATCCCATTCCACAGGTGCTCTATGACCCCTACTGATTTACCGCTTTTCCTGATTAAAATACAATAATTATGGAAAGAACCAGTCTTGAATGGTTGATTCTGCTTATGAATTGGATGAAAAGTTTCGTGGTTTTAGGCTAAGCATGGGCACGTTTCGTTGAATTCAGTGCATTATTTGTAGGATGCACTTCTCAGTCTTCTAATTTTGGTGCTCATGTGTTTTCCACATTTTAAGTTGCATAAGTTTTATTATGCTGATTTAATAAAACTGGTTTCTGTGAAATGTCTGGAGAATGTTTCTTCCGGTTAGAAATAAACCACAGTGTTTTATTTCACATAAATATTACGAGTTAAATTTTTATATAATGTTCAGTGGTGAGCACATTACACATGTGTTATGCCCAATAAAGATTTTTGAACTTTAAGTACATATGGTTTTAATAAAGTTTAATTACTTATTTACATGCACTGTTACTTAAATCTTAAGTGCTGGTGAACCTTCCTCAAAGTTTGGAAATATTTTTCGCTGTGATGGTTCCATTTTCACTTTTTTATGAAAGATACTGGGAAATTGAAATACTGATTTTCATGTAATAATTTCTGATTTGCTAGTATAATTGCCTTTAACCTTCTTTGTTGATAATCTGAAAAAAAAAAAACTTAATGTGCTGGTGTACCTTACAGGAAAGAATAAATTTCTTTTGGGCTGCCTATATTCTAATTTGTAGTTTTCATTGAATAAGTTGTGAATCCTAAATCCGTTTTACTTGAAATCTTCAGCACTAATACATAACCGCATTAAAAACTTATGCTGCATCTGCACTAATATTTACGATTACATTACCTTTTGGAATACAAGGATGCCATTCTCGGATCGTACAGCGCTTGAAATGCATTTTGTCCTTTGCGCTAGTAGAAAGGTTTTGGTATGATATTTAAAATTTTAGCAGAGTGGACTGGAAGACCAGCGGATGACCTCAGTCATATGACTAAGACTTTAATTTCTCCTGACAAACAGAATCCCACCACTACCTCGGAGCATTGTACAAATGAAGTAATATTTTTTTATTTTAGTTAAATTGTTTATTTATCAATACTAATATACAAATCATTTAGTACACACAACTTACTTGGATGGCATTTGTTGAACTTAAAGTAGTTAAACAAGTGGGAAAGGCCCGTCAAGTGCTCTACGCCAAGGTCATTTATGACCTTAAGATCGTCCGGTAAAGTATTCGGCATTACCAATGAAACACAAAGGAAGAGCATAGTACACTGGGTGATGGCCATGACAACCTCCTGGGCAACGTGGAGTCAACACTATCTACACCACTCTGTATTGTCCCGCTTGTAGTTCTCAGATGAATGACCGAGTCAGAGTTCTTAGATGAGATGGAGTCTCTCCTGTGAAAAAACATATTGAGGCTTGGAATGTTACAACAATGGGATGAATGACATGGTTATAAATGTAATTATGCGATCCTGAACTTCACACACTTGTATTGGACAAGGTGAAAAGGCACATTATGTTTTCTTTTGAAAATCGATACATATGATATAATATTTGACAGATTCATTTAATGATATTTTTTTTGCTATAAACTAACCTTCCAGTACAGCTTCTGCCACAGGTCATACAGAAAGCGGACAGTATTCTAAGAACTGTAATCACTGAAGTAATGAGGAAGACAAGTACATGTACACATGAGTGTACTCACACACGCAAGTTCATAAACCCATGCATACATACAAATACACATACATATACATCCTCGAACACGAAACCCTCACACACACACGCACACAGCGCCAGTATGGAACCCTCACTTAGTCAAACACGTCACGAAATTGGAAAAAGTGCAAAAATTTGCAACACGCTTAGTCCCGGAACTGAGGGGTATGTCTTATGAGGAGAGGTTAAGGGAACTCAACCTGGTGACACTAGAGGATAGGAGGGATTGAGGGGACATGACAACAACGTATAAAATACTAAGAGGCATTGACAAGGTGGACAAGGATCGAATGTTTCAGAGATGGGCTACAGAAACAAGGGAACACAATTGGAAACTGAAAACCCAGATGAGTGAGAGGGATGTTAGGAAGTATCTCTTTAGTTTTAGAGTTGTCAGGAACTGGTATAATCTGGAGAGTGAAGTAGTGGAAGCAAGTTCCATAAATAGCTTTAAGAAGAGGTATGACAAATATCATGGAGCAGGGAGAGAGTGAATTAGTATCGACCAGTGAAGAGGCAGGGCTAGGAGCTATGACTGGACCCCTGCAACCACATATAGGTGAGTACATATAGGTGAGTACACACACACACAAAACTGCCCGTGCACTCAAGCTGTCACGATCACGCACACATATTCCTGTGCCCAGGCATTCACACACACACACACACACACACACACACACACACACACACACACACACACACACACACACACACACACACACACACACAAACACACATGCAAACACTGCGTGCATACACCACGGTCACGAGTGTAACAGCCCCAGCATGGCTCCTTGACTCTTAGTGTTTTTAGGGGTTATTTAGTATCTACCAGAAGACAATGGTCGTGATAGGGTCAGTGAAGAATCCCCAAAAGTGAAAAAACAAGGTTTCCAAATGAGAAAACTGAGGGAAAGACCACAATTTCATTGAAAATTTGAAAGTGCCAGTAATCGATGAATGTTGAGTACCTTAACCTCTCCTTATGGGACATACTCCATAGCTTGGTGACTAGTCTTGTTGTGAATCTTTGAACTTTCTCCATTGTTTTGATACACTTGACCAGATGTAGGGGTTCCATACTGGTGTAAGTTTATTCAGGAATACACAAATATAGTTACAGATTATGAAACATAGCAGCATATGTGTAAACAACCTAGGATTATCCAAAAAAAGTCAGTGACTTATTTCCATTGGGGTCCTTTTAATTCCTTACTATTGTAATACTATGAAAGAGAATATGTCTTCTTATTATACTATAAAGGAGATATACTAGGAATAAGGTAAAGTGAATTATTTATATTTACATGTGTGTTAGCTAAAAAAATAAAAAATAATTCTCCTCCCTTTCTGTCGCTACATTCATTAGGCACCTTTTGGCTCTCTTCTTGAACTGGTTCATGCTATGACTGGCTTTGACATGTGCAGGCAGTCTGTTCCATTCGCTTATTGCTGTACAATAAAAGGTGTTTGAAGCCTGGCCACTGACTGTGGGTACTACAAAGTTGTGCTCTCTCCCCCTAGTACTGTGATTGCTTGGGTTCTCAGCCTTGACAAAACTGGCAGCAAGATATTCTGGACACTGTGAGCAATTTTATAAATTTGATTTAACTTCAGTTGTTTTACTCTGTCTTCAACATTTAGCATATCCAATTGTTGTTATTCATCCTAGCCTACATGTTCTCTTGGACTCAGGTCCAGGATGAATCTTACCATTTTGTTCTGGGTGATTTGCAGTCTATCGTTCAGTTTTTTGTCAAGGCAGAGTACCATGAAGAACAAGCGTAGTCCATATGACATTGTATAAGGGCTAGACACAAGGTCCTGCGAGCCTCAGTATGTAGACACCGTGCTTGTTTGTAGTGGAACTTCAGTCTGGCATTTACTTTCTTTACTACGCTGTTCTCTATCAATTCTCCTGACATGCATGGGTCATAGGGAATTCCCAGATATTTTACAGAGGAAACTGAAGTAATGGGTTCCCCATTACACCGGATATTAAAATTGTTTACCCTTCTCAATTTGTTTCATGCCAAAGAATATGGCTTCCGTTTTCCCGAGGTTTAACGATAGTTTGTTGTCTACTATCCATTTGCTTCAGTGTTATTACATTAGCTATATCTTGTGGGCCTGTACCTGACGCTAACAGAGCACTGTCATCTGCATACAGTAGGAGTTTGCACTGGACACTGATGGGCATGTCGTTTACATAACATAGGAATAATAAGGGACCCCGAATACTACCCTTTGGAACGCAACATGCTATCGACAAGGGTTCTGATTCTCTTTTGCTGATTTTCACAATTTGTGTCCTGATGCTAAGGGAGGACTTAAACCAGTCTACGGAACCTATGAAGATTCCTTGAAGTTTCTTACATATTATATTGTTGTTGACAATATCGAAGGCCTTTTGCAAGTCTAAGATTATCATTTATATGAGGTTCCCTACTGAGATTTCAGTTCTCATGTAATCCATCAGATTAATGAGGGAGGTGTCAGTTGAGTATGATCTAAAGCCTGATTAGAAACTTTGGAGAATGTTGTGGAAAAAGTCACATATGTACAGTTCACGATATTTATCAAATGACACGTTTCGCCACTAGTGGCTTCTTCAGTTATAATACAGAGAAACTAAGAAAACGAGTATATATATATATATATATATATATTATATATATATATATATATATATATATATATATATATATATATATATATATATATATATATATATATATAAATATATATATATATATGTATGTCGTGCCGAATGTGTAATACTGGTCAGTTAGCAAGAACTCATTAAAATTAAGTGCTTCCTAAAATTTTCTCTTATACGTTTAAAGATATATTTTTTTCATTAATGTTAATGTAAAAATTTTTAATTTTGCACCAAAAGAATTTTAGAAAACTTACTTAATCTTATTATAACAAGAACAATTTATTTTAGCCTAATCCAACTAAATATATTTTAGATTTGTTTATAATAATTTAATACTAAACAAACATAGTGAAATATATTTTTTTCAATTAGGTTCAGGATGATTTTGGAGAAATTATTGCATACATAAATTTTCGCTTGTCTTATATGGCAAGATGAGCGTTGCTATTTAAGCCAAGATCGCAAGTTCTGTCTATTCGGCACGACATATATATATATATATATATATATATATATATATATATATATATATATATATATATATATATATATATATATATATATATATATATATAAAGTTTTTCTTCTTCTCTTTTTTAGTAAATGTCTACAGGAGAAGGGGTTACTAGCCCATTGCTCCCGGCATTTTAGTCGCCTCATACGACACGCATGGGTTACGGAGGAAAGATTCTTTTCCACTTCCCCATGGACAATAGAAGAAATAAAGAGGAACAAGAGCTATTTAGAAAAAGGAGAAAAACCTAGATGTATGTATATATATATGCATGTACGTGTCTGTGAAGTGTGACCAAAGTGTAAGTAGGAGTAGCAAGATATCCCTGTTATCTAGCGTGTTTATGAGACAGAAAAAGAAACCAGCCCAGGAGGGGTGTTAATGTTGCAGTTTAAAAACTGTAGTGTAAAGCACCCTTCTGGCAAGACAGTGATGGAGTGAATGATGGTGAAAGTTTTTCTTTTTCGGGCCACCCTGCCTTGGTGGGAATCGGCCGGTGTGATAAATATATATATATATATATATATATATATATATATATATAATATATATATATATATATATATATATATATATATATATATATATATATATATTTGTGTGTTTAATGTAGTTCCGAATAGGGAAAACTTGCAATGCTCTTCTTGCCGAATAAGGTAAGCAAAAATTTGTGTATGCAATAATTAGGCTAAATTAAATTGCGCATATTATAATAAGGTTAGGTAAATTTTCTAAGGTTCTTTTCTCACAGAATTAATAAATTCTACATTAACAAAAATTAAAAAAATGTATCTGTAAATATAAAAGAGAAAATTTAGGAAAGTACTTAATTTTAAATGAGTTCTTGCTAACTGATCAGTTTTTCTTGTTCTGCACGGCATTTTTATATATATATATATATATATATATATATATATATATATATATATATATATATATATATATATATATATATATTATATATATATATATATCAATAACAACACTGCGCTAGCCAAGGATTCGAACCCATGTTGTACTGGCCTGCCTCATGGTAAGGAATAGAATGAGGTAATCAGTCCCTCAGCCTTGAGTCGATGTGGTCAGTCCATCAATCTTGAATAGAATACGGCATATGAGCGGAGAAGCAGCTTATAAACCTTAGACAGGTGAGGGGCAGCAGTCGTAGGTGGTGTCACATTTGTCCAATGTGGAAGTAGGTCACTTGCCTAACCCTTGGGCACGACCTGCTTCCACATTGGACAAATGTGACACCACCTACGACTGCTGCCCCTCACCTGTCTAAGGTTTATAAGCTGCTTCTCCGCTCATATTCCGTATTCTATTCAAGACTGATGGACTGACCACATAGACTCAAGGCTGAGGGACTGATTACCTCATTCTATTCCTGTTCTTCAAGTTTCTCCTTTGTATGGATTGATGAAGCCACTGTGTGGAGAAACGTTTCCTCAACAGAGAAACCCAAGAGTTGCACATGTGTATAATTCAACATGTCGGTTCTCTGAACCATTCATCTACAATTTCAATGTCATCCTGTTTAGTAAGCCTTCACGAGCATTCTATATATTAATGAAATCATGAATCAAGTCAGTTTGAATCATTATCTGAACTGTTGCTAGCCAGGATTTGATCCTGCGTCACCATGCTCAGCCGTGTGAAAACAGGACAACGTATGCATCAGTCTATACACAAGACCAACAATTCTCAAACCACCAGGCGCCCAGTGGAACTGGGCGGGTTTTTCCTGATCGGAGAACATGTGTAGCCATGAAGCCTCAGAGACTAATTTCAGCCTCATCCTGTTTGGGTACCAGCCTTCATGAGCAGTCTATATATTAATGGAATTATGAAACAAGTTATTTTGAATCATTAACAGATCTTTGGCCAGCCAGGATTCGATGCTACGTCAACATGCTCAGCCCTGTGAGAACATGACAATGTATGCATCACTCTATCCATTGGACCAACAGTTCTCAAACACCAAGGCCCCAGTGGAACTGGGTGTGTTATCCCTGATGGGAGAACATGCGTGGCCGTGGAGCCTCAGATGCTCATTTCATCCTCATCCTGTTTGGGTACCAGTCTTCATGAGCAGTCTACATATTAATGAAATCACGAAACATATGTTTCTGAATCATTAACAGATGTGCAGCTAACCAGGATTCGATCCTGCATCACCATGCCCTGCCCAGTATCATCATGCATAGCGGTTGTCTCTTCTTTTTCGGAGATGATTTGAATTAGGCCGCCCTACCCGCACTGCTGACAGTTTTACCAGGAGGCCTGGTCACAGACCGGGCCGCGGGGGCGTTGACCCCCGGAACTCTTTCCAGGTAAACTCCAGGTAAACACCGTCTAAAAACTGTGTTACTTCTGAGACGTCTGTAGTGTGAACTAATCATTTTGCTGACACTTTTTCCTTGAAATAATGAGACGTTCTAGTCGTGGGTCATAGTGCCTTTAAACATTCAATTTCTTAAAAGTCGACATATTTTTACTGTCATGGTGCATAAGAAACTAACAAACAAACAAACAAAAAACATAAATTTGTCCACCTCTCAGTTAACACACGACATTATTGTATTTTCATCTTCTCTGATGCACAGGGTTTCGATGAAGTGATATTTTCAGTAGCCATCTGAAAAAAGGATTATTGGCTCAACAATGCATTCATTATTATTTTATATTTACTGTACCTGTTCATTCATCATACTTTCGTATCTACACTACGTCTCTGCACTTACTGTACATCTCTTACATTCATTGTGTTTCCTTAACTATTTCCTCACTTACCAGTTTAACATACAACTAGACAAGACTTACTTTAACGGAGGTGTAAAGCTGAGCAGGACACAATTACTGTGAGGTTGTATCCTCGTGACTGAGGCTCCTTCACATAACAACGTGACTTTAAACAACTCTGACTGGCAACTCAGGTGTGCATCCCAGTGTGCGATAATTATTAATATTAAGCCAAAATACATTAGTTTTGTGATATATTCCCATATTTTAAGTTACAGATAATCTCTCTTTTTAACATCATTGAACTTTTTTTTTTTTTACAGCAAACGCATGTTAAATCACTGTTGGATATTTCTTCTTAGATATATTGTTTTGACTTAGTCGTGGCTATGGGGTTAAAGATTTAGAAATTATGTACAAACATTATTAGACTTCCCCGACGAGGTACCATGAAGAAGTTATCTGATTTTTTCCTCGTCCTTCTTTTCAATTATATTTTTCTCATAACTCGAGAATGAATCTTCCATTCCCCTTCAAATTTTCAACACTGTGTACGGTAACAGGGACTAAATTCTTTAATTAATTTTCATGTACACGTGTCCTAAGACAAAAACTTTAACGATGATAGAAATTGATGATTTTATGTAAAAAAGTGTGGAATTTGTACTCCGGTTAAATAACATAAAATAAAACTCACTTCACTGCTTCTGAACGGTTTCAGTATTTATTTGCAGGTGCATCTTATGGTCAGGATGGTAAATATTAAGTTTCGTTTGAATGCTTCCAAATTTGGTTGAAAAATAAAATATTAAAAGAAACTTGGAATCGTTGGAATCTTTGCATTAACTGGTGCTCATCTGTCACTGTGACATAAGTTACAATTTCTCAGTTATATTGATTAATTAGCTATGTTATTTTCATCTTCAATCACTAACAAATGCTTATGATTAGCTTCAAACTATTATTGACGAGGCATTCTGTAATGAGTATTATAAGCAATAAGATGAATACGAGAAAGTGTAAATTTTATATTTTACTGAAATTGGGAGAACAAAACTGGAAAATTGGAATCAGATCGATTAGTGAAGAATGTGTTTCTTGTCGGCTTCTAATTTTACCATTTTTGGGCTTAAAACACATCTTGTCTCTCACTCTGAGCTGGCTAAATTTTAATTTGCCTAATTTTATTAAGCAAGTTGTTTCCCATTTAATAATTAGTGAACACCTCTACTGTTCAGCTTCAAACGATAGATTTTGGTGCATTTTATTAAGAAATATTTTTGTAATAAATTTGTGTGAGTACTAATATGTCATTTTTTGTCTGTTTTATCAAACTGAGTTTTTAAAAAAAATCAAAATAAGAGACATTTTCTTACAGGATTGTGGAGCATATTAAAACTAATGCAAGTACAAATATAAATTTGAAAAAATACTGAAACTCCGTTTTTTTAAAGCATGAAACAAGAGCCGTTCTTTTGTCAGCTAAAGGGTTCTCTTTATTTCAGGACGGCTTTTTCAGTCGGTGTCTCGTTTAAAACTCCGGGTTTGGAGTGCAGCTGACATACACAGGTGCTGTCTGCATCCTTTAACATAAGCCATTCCCGAAACTGATTTCCATGAGATAGTTGTACAGAGCTTCAGCTTCACTATTTCAGCTATCACAAGGGCACTGACTATAGATTATAATCTATAGTAGCTTAGCTTCGGCTAGGCGCCCATTTTTATCTTGGGCCTGACTCCGTCATAAAGTACTGTGGACTCTGATGCAAAGTCCACAGTACTTTACGACATTGTCTCTGCGTCCTGCTGTGGACGTAGAGACAATGTTTATATATATATATTTTATATATATATATATATATATATATATATATATATATATATATATATATATGTGTGTGTGTGTGTGTGTGTGTGTGTGTGTGTGTGTGTGTGTGTGTGTGTGTAGTGAAAAGTGAATTTTATCAGGCATCGTAGTTTATACCTTTACAATTTTTCTTTACGCACGCAAACATTTCTACACACACATATAAAACAGTACTTATACACTCGAATACAAACGCATAAATATAAATTGTGTGCATGGTTGAGCATGCACACAAGAATATATAGTTACATTTTGCTGAATTAAAATTTTATAACCGCCCTCCAATATTCCTTTTCTGTGCATTGAGGCAGAGTAGGCTTGGCTTATGGAATGTGGGGAATCCTTTCTCGGATCGCTCACCGACAGATATACTTTTAGTAGTTTTAGGCAATTTTTCTCGGCGATCATTTCAGGGCAACTTATAGGCTGTAGCACTTACTCTCGTCACTGACAGATTTGAGAATTAAAGAATAATAATCTCGTAACTGCTGTGTTGTTTAGTGCGGCACCTTGGCTATGATTGTGTTATCATGTTAAGTTGCTGCGATTTGCTCCCTGTGAGAAATATTGAATGTTTTAGCCCTGAATGATTGCCTTTCTGAACGTAAATAATAAACTACTTGCTTCAGGTAAACGTCAAAACGTTACCCTTTTTCTTAGAGGTTTGCTGTGTATTATTCTATTTTCGTACATTCAGTTTTTGAAGAGTTTGTAACTGAGTTATCAAGTTGTAATTAGATATATAGGAGAGATACTTTATCTTTCTTGCCAATAAGTAAATTTTATATTTAAAGCTGAAGTCATCAAGGTAATTACAAGATTAAAACTGTATTATTCTCCTTTTTCGAGCCTTGGTAACCTTGAACATCAAAAGATCATTGGTGTAAGTCTATGAATTTAAAGAGCTCATAGACTTCAGATTGATAAAACCTAGTACGCAGTCGCTATCTTTTGATTAAAACACACAAGTGTTGCTCGTGTATGTTACTCATCAACCTTGTGCGTGAGGTTTGTAAACATTCTAAGACTTGTTAAGAGGCGGAATTCGTAAATGTTTATGGTGTTCATATGCCACTTGCCTCACCTCCATCGGACTCATAACAGCCTTCTAACATTGTTAGATTAGGGTATTCAGGAGAGAGTGAGATTATTTTCCAATAAAAGCAGACATTAAACTGGGATTTTTTTTTATATTTTATAATTAAACTGGGATTTATGTCACCATGGTTGCATATTTAGAAATGGAGCTGTAAAAGAAATGAATGCTAAGGTGCATGGGAGAGGTGTGGGAATAAAGGATAAAGAATCTAGTACAGAGTTGGGGGGTTGTCACATTTGCTCTGTAAAGATGTCACGGTGGTTTTGTGAGATTCTGAAAAGAATTTGAAAAAGATAGTGGAAGAACTTGAAAAACGTATGAAAAAAATGGAATTTTCAAGTGAACGTACGAAGGAGCAAGGAGATGAAGGTAACAATAAATTTAGATAATAAAAGGCTTTATAACAGATTGGATTGAGGGAGTATGGAGGAAGTGAATGTGTTCAGACATTTGAGAGACGACTTGTCAAGGGACAGGTTTACAAAGGATATGGTGAACTATAGAACTGACGAAGGAAAAAAAATGGATGGTGCACTGATGCATCTGTGGAGACAAACAACGTTTATCCATGTATGAGAGTATAGTGGTTTCCATCACTTCTTATATGGGTGTAAAGCATGGGTTGTGAATGTTGCAGAGAGGAGACGAGAGGCAATGGAGATGTTGTTAGAAAGCAATGTGTGGTGTGAATATTTTGCAGAGAATTTGTTGTTAGGAAAGTAGGAGGTCCAGGGTTTCTTAAAGAATTATTCAGAGGGTTGAGGGGTTGTTGAGGTGTTTTGGACAGGTAAAGAAGATGGAGTAAAATAGGAGGACTTAGAGGGCGTATAAATCTATTGGGGGGAAGGCGTGGTGGAAGTATTCCTAGTCTTGCAACACGACTTTGGGTGAGGTTTATTTGGTGTTTGCCTGGTCAGCCAGGCTGTTGCTGCTAGTGGCCAGTTGGCCCACATGCCCACAGCAACTTTATAAATACAGCATTTGACAGAGAAATGAGTCGAGTTTCCTCTTGAAGATTTACCGTATATTCTTAATACGTCAGTGTTTCTGATATCATTTGGTATATTAATGAATAGTCTGGGGCCACGGATGTTGATACTAGTTTTTTATTGTCCCCAGGGCTTCCTCTATTTATCACTGAGTTTAATTTTCATTTAGTCCCCCATCTCTCACTCTGGTATATAGCTATAGTGTGAAGATTTGGACTAGTCAATCGTGTACGATTGTGAGGAGTAAGTGTTTATTGTACATGAAGAATAAGTTATTATTGTATATATTATATCCCAATTTGAGTAGTCTCCCTACCTAACAACTACGGGTTGTTTTGACCACCAGTGCCCCGTACTTTCCCGGGAGAGAACTACTGTTGCTTACCAAGCGATCAGGGTAAGTTAGTAGTGTCACTGTACTCATGACTCTCCTCCAGGCGAGGAGTCCGCTGGGACTGTTTGTTCTATTTTATGTTACCTGCATTGACTTAGGTTTAATTTGACTACTCACGTGTCTCAATGCCATAACCTATATGTCCTCTAGTAACCTGTTTTTCTCAGCCCGTAGAACTGGTGTTGGGTCACCCTAGTATTATGTACCACGAAGAACTGTGTACGGAAGAACCCACTCTGTATGTTGACACAAGCTCCGGACTATTCGTAGGTTGAATCTACTATACGGCTGTCCATGTTTATTCTTCCTCTATCCTTAACATTGCCTGGTTTATGTAGTAGGGAAAATTGTCAAGTAAACTACCACCATGTGAGCATCAACACTTCCTCCACATTCTTTGTATTCCTATATTTCTCGACAGAGATTTAAATATCCTAGATCCAAGAAACTTATTTGTTGACACAAATTTTTATTTTTTATTTTTAGTGTAATGTTTGTTAGGTTTAATTAGACGTCATGTTTTTCCATGTATTATTGAGGCATACTTAAGTTTTTACCCTCACTATTTAATTAGATTTATAATTGTTCTATCCTTTTTGTTTTCATCAAGGAAAGAACTCTAAGATACCTACACCTTTTAGGGTTCCAGTCCTTACAACCTTCCATGTAATATATATATATATATATATATATATATATATATATATATATATATATATATATATATATAGGAATAGGTGGTAAGTTATTAAATGCTGTAAAGAGTTTTTATGAGGATAGTGAGGCTCAGGTTAGGGTGTGTAGAAGAGAGGGAGAATACTTCCCGGTAAAA